CATGCGGTTTTGTGTTGATTAACGCCGTCTGAATGACGTTACTAAGAAGGACAGCTATCCCTTGCCAAGAATTGAGACACGCTGGACATGCTTACAGGAGTAAAGTGGTTTAGCACGCTGGATCTAAAAAGTGGCTACTGGCAAGTTGAAATTGACCCTAAGGACAAGGAGAAAACTGCGTTCTCGACGGGAAAGGGTCTGTGGCAATTTAAAGTAATGCCGTTTGGGTTGTGCAATGCTCCAGCAACGTTTGAAAGGCTGATGGAACTTGTACTTACTGGGCTAATTGGCGATGCCTGTCTGGTCCACATGACATCATCATCGTGGGCCGTACGTTTGAGGAACACCTTAAAAACCTGGAACGCGTGCTCATGAAGAATCAGAGTGCCAACCTCAAGTTGAGTCCGAAGAAATGTTCACTATTCAAACGGCAAGTCAACTTTTTGGGGTATGTAGTGTCGGAAGAAGGTATCCGTACGGATCCGGAGAAAATCGCCGCTGTCAAGGATTGGCCGGTTCCAAAAGACAAGACGCAGGTTAGAGCATTTTTGGGTTTGTGCTCCTATTATCGGCGATTTGTGAAGAACTTTGCAGATATAGCCAAACCTCTCCACAAGCTAACCGAGGAGAAGCGACATTTCTGCTGGGATGAAAGTTGCAATATCGCATTCCAGGAGCTCAAGAACCATCTGTGCAAAACACCTATTTTGGGATACCCTGATGCAAGCAAAGTATTTATAGTTGACACAGACGCAAGTGATATAGGACTTGGCGGTGTGTTGTCTCAACGGAATGGTGACCAAGAGGTCGTGATAGCGTACTTCAGCAAGTCGTTGTCAAAACCGGAAAGGAACTATTGTGTCACAAGACGCGAATTGCTAGCTGTGGTAAAGTCATTGCAACATTTTAGCAAATATCTTCTATGACGAAAATTTCACTTACGAACTGACCATGCTGCACTAAAATGGCTATTGCAGTTTAAAAACCCAGAAAGACAAGTTGCGAGGTGGATTGAACTACTGCAGGAATACGACTTTGAGATCGAACATCGCAGCGGGAAAACTCATGGCAACGCAGATGCATTGTCAAGAAGACCTTGTCGTGTAGGCAAGAGAGTAAGAAAGTGGTATCCGTGAGGATGCTCAGGGCAGACCACCTCAGCAACGAGTGGAAGGACAGCTTACTACATGCACAGCAGGAAGATCCGGACATCAAGCCGATTCTGGAATGGATAAAGGCCAGTGCTCCCAAGCCCAAGTGGAGTGACGTCTCAGCGATGAGTTCGACCACTAAAAGCTATTGGGCCCAGTGGGACAGCTTGCTGCTTCAGGATGGAGTTCTATGTCGTAAATGGGAAAATGTTCGGGGAGACAGCTGTCATTTGCAAATGGTTGTCCCTAAAGCTAAAGTACCTGATGTTCTACAGCTGTACCATAATGATTGTTCAGGAGGCCATCTGGGAGTTAAACGAACTCTACTGAAGATCCGAGAACGGTTTTACTGGGTCCACTGTCGAAACGATGTCGAGGACTGGTGTCGCAAATGTACAAGTTGTGCGGCTGTAAAGGGACCTCAGACTCGTAGTAGAGGTGCATTGAAGTTGTACAATGTTGGTGCACCATGGGAGAGAATAGCCGTTGACGTGGCGGGGCCGTTTCCGGAGAGTGAAAGCGGTAACAAGTATTTCATGGTTGTGATGGATTACTTCACTAAGTGGCCAGAAGTCTTCGCCATTCCAAATCAAGAAGCTTCAACAGTTGCAGATAAACTAGTTCATGACGTCTTCTGTCGTTTTGGAGTACCTTTAGAGATTCACAGCGATCAAGGAAGGAATTTTGAGTCTCAAATATTCCAGGAAACTTGCCGAGTTATGGGCACTCAAAAACAAGAACGACTTCTTATCACCCGCAATCTGATGGAATGGTAGAACGATTTAATCAGACATTGGAGAGGTACCTAGCAAAAGTTGTAGACAATCGGCAACGAGATTGGGACAAGCACATACAACCGTTTTTGTTGTCATATCGAAGCGCTGTTCACGAAAGTACATCAGTGACACCAGCTTTCGCAAATTTTGGGAGAGAATTACGGCTGCCTGCAGACCCGATCACAGGGATACCACCTGATGCACCACGCAGTATAACCGGTTATGCAAATGACTTGCGGAACAAAATGAATAACATTTAGGAGCACGTCAGACAATCGGGCCAGCAAATGTCTGAAAAGATGAAAACCAGGTATGACCGCAAAATGAACAACATAGGGTTCGACGAAGGTTCGCTAGTGTGGTTGCACAATCCAGTCCGCAGCAAAGGGAAATCTCCTAAGCTTCAAGCTAAATGGGACGGCCCGTACCGGATTGTGACCAGGATCAACGATGTAACCTACCGGATACAGAAAGGCGCAAGAGGGTCCATGTGGATCGCCTGGCGCGTTATTTTGGGGCCGATAATGCTCGAAACGAGCATGTCTTAGGAGGGGGCAGTGTTGCGCGGCTAAGTTGACATCTCATCTCATGGCACTAGCGCCATCTAGTGTCGGGTAACAGAGCGAGGAGAGAGCTTTCCAGAAAACGACACGACTAATTTTTTAACCGACAGCGCCATCTAGTATCAAATTGAAGAACTAAACTTTTTAGAAACTCTACACTCGATCTTTCTGCGCTTGGTCGTTTGGCGCGCGTATTTACTCGAATATTCTGGATATTCTGGATGTTTTCTTGGAAGAGCCCTATATAAAGGCGCTGCAATACGCGATCGGGGAAGTATTGAAGTTGGCGAGACAAGCGAAGTTTCGGAGCGGAATGAAGTGAATCAGTGTGATTAATTATTAGTGTTTTTAACTTTAATTAGTGTAAAGTGAATTAAAGTGTTAATTTAGGTAATTTTATCGGTAATTTTTATTGTCACGAACCTCAAGCTCGTAACAATACGTTTTTATTGATTAATTATCTTATCAACCGATGAAAAGAAATTCCTTGGTTTTTACTGACATTTTTTGAATTATTTGTGCAATATCTAAGTACATACGATGGCATATTTTTATCAAGAGATTCTTTTAAATCAACACAACACGTGACAACTCTACAAGTGCCTAGCGAGTGACTGATTAAAGTGCGGTACATGCACCGCAGTTGAGTGGAACAGAGTAGCTGAATGCAGTGTCGCCTCTAGTACGTAGTACATAATAGCTCAATGACTGCAGAACGTTAATTTCATAGCCACTACTACGACAGTATAATAATCACGACAAGACCGCGGTCTGCCTCATTTTTCATTTATATTCTTTGGTAGGATGTAGTGGATTCTCCTACGCCGCCGTAACACGACATTGTCAATTCTGCCTACAACTATATGATTTAGAAATATTTTCTACCAAACAGATATAGCGATCTCAATGGTTTTATTTTCCGTTAAGCAAGTGATAAACCAGCATATAAAATTGGGATTATCAATGGGATCCAACTGGCTCTTGTGACTGCCTAGTATTAGTACTCATACCTGATTTATTTTTAGTTTTTAAAGTATGCAACAGGAATATTCGTGATATAATCATCATCACTTGATTTTGAAAACAATTTTCTTGATCGCTCGAACGATTAAATAAGTCTATTCTATATTATTCATATTTTAAGACAAATAATAAAGTAATAAATAATTAATAAATGAACGAAAACGAGTATATCGATGCCGATTGTTGCTAACATCTTGTCTTGTGAAGTAACGTCACACATAATACTACTACAATAGGGCTGACATTTTTTTAGTAAACTCGTGTCTTCTAATTCAGAAGACACGAGTGTACTTACTCTCATAATTGACATAGTATAAAGAGACCAAAGATGACCACTTCTCAATAAAAGCGAAATAAATTACACGTAAGATATTCCAATATGTCTATGGGCCAGAGTATCCTCTTACCATCATGTGCCAAACTTCGAGTTTCTTCCCCCTTTGCCCTAAAGTGCGCCCGCAGTGCGTTTGCGTTCATTATTTGTGACCAACGCATGAGACGTGCTCCACCAGCGTTGGGTGCCGCTTGCTGAGTCCGAGAAGACCCAGCCGACACCAAGCATTCTGGTGGGGATGATGGATGTGGGGGGCTGCTAGGTGGTCTTGCAGCGCCTCGCGCTAGGCTGGCGGCGCGCATGCTGCCGCGTCCAGCACCATCTCCGCACGCGCCCTGGCGACCTCCAGAGCTCCACCAGCGGCGGGTGCCGCTTGCTGAGTCCGAGAAGACCCAGCCGACACCAAGCCTTCTGGTGGGGATGATGGATGTGGGGGGCTGCTAGGTGGTCTTGCAGCGCCCCGCGCTCGGCTGGCGACGCGCATGCTGTTGCGTCCAGCGCCAGCTCCGGACACGCCCTGGCGACCTCCAGGCAGCGGCCCTTTTCGTACTATGCGTGTGTGCTCGTTTCTCACCATGTTTCAATAAAAAACATTTCCAAGTTAAATACAATCATTAATTATCTCTCGTTATCTCATATCGGATCATACAAACATGTAATATATAACGTGCTTCAACCATGTAGTGTCGGCGGTAGAATTTCTACCACCCCATATCGTCCCGTGGGTGATGTAAGAGGCGACGGAGGAAAACCAAAACACGAGACGCTGCATCTTTCTGATAACAGTTGAATAAAAATAACAAATTTTGGTTGCAAACTTGCCTACTAACCGTGTCAACTAAGGCAGAATCCCCTATGAGGCAATCTGTGGAAGAGACCCATGCACAGCAATAGATTTTATAGAATGTAGTGAAAAAATGTGATTGGTTCACCTTAAAGTGAACATTATTTCCGCAATAAAAGAAAAAGGAAGTTGAAGGTTAATAAAATTATCAAATTATTAGTTTCGCCATTGTTAATAATTTTTAGATGAATAAAAATTACTACAATTAACTTCTTAATTAATGAGTTTTATATAACAGAACTATTTAAAGGATCGAACGCTAACTAACTGTGTCAAATTATTACTTACACTCTTCAAGAAACGTTTGCAATGGCGTGCAAGGTAAGTTTTATTTTGCAAATATTTTGTATACAAACGTTTGAAAAACATTAAGCTGAATGCAAGTTATGGTCCACCTGATGGTGTGCGGCTATTTCTTTTTGTAGAATAAAGGGTGACAAACCAGCATACAGTCCACATGATGGTAAGTGGTTGCTGTGGTCCATAGACGTCTACATCTATCCTCTATTACGAATCAAAATGCAGAAGATACATTGTCACCCGTGATGACTAGGACGGAATGCCTTAGGGAATGCCTTAGTAAAGAGGGTCCTTTCTAGTAAAAAGGGTACTACTCACCATACGAAACCCAAAACCACAGGTACCACGCTTCCACGCTTCCACAGGTCCACAGGTAGGATGGATATGATTTGAGTTCCGATAGATTTTAATTTATCAATATTTTTCATTCAAAATTTTTTTATATATATAAAAGATACGCCATCTGCAAAACAATAAATCTCGCATCCCTTTTCGCCAGTCATACAATATTCAGATGGGCGACGTGCACATCAGTGTAAGGCGCGGGACTTCTTGTATTGCAATCGCTGATCAGCCTGCCAAGCCTGCCAATTATAGCAAATCCTCTGCCCAAAGGTTTATTTAAGTATGATACGTAAAAGAACTTTACTTTAATACTAAGAATTTGCTTTGATGACCTAAAACATAAATTTAATATTATTTTCCTTCCAGGCAAAGGTTTTAATAATCGTCATGATTTTCGTCTTTATTGACGTTTTGCAAGCTGCTAATATTCATCGGGAACGTCGTGATGCGTCTGAAGCTGTACAAGTGCCTACTGACAGCGACACGGGCCTTGATATCCTTTTGGAGGATTCGCCAAGTGCACATTTTGGTCTTGCCAAAAAATTGGGTGCCAAATTTATTGATATTTTGAAGAACCTCCAAGAAAAGTAAATAGCATTGTATCACCGTTTATTGGAAAAATAATGAATAAAGTATATGATGTAATCAATTTATTTAACATTTAAAATTGTCTTTATCAAGAATATGTACACAAAAATATAATTAAGATAGGGTATAAATGTTAAATATAGATAGGGAACTATTTTTCCGATTTAGACCTATTTTCATAGTGTGCGGGAAACATAAGTTTCATTTCTGTATATAGATTTCTATAGAAATTGTCTGGATTTTAAGTGCTGATTTGTCACTTCTTTTCGGTGAATGATAACATCGTAAGGATATCTTCTCTATGAATGTGAAAAAGGACAGGGTAAAGATGCCTAGTATGAGATAGGTTCCTCGAATGAGATAGTTCAGTATTTGAAAGTTTGTTTACTTATCGCAAGCGACAGTAGTATCGCTGGCTCAGTCATTCGGTCGTGTTCAAACGTGCACTTCTTAGACACAGGCAACCAGGCGAGAAAATACGCTACCGCCTCCACTATATAACGAACTAGCTGTTCATTTGGCACTTCACTTCATCATCATCACAACTTCTGGGCATTTGACACACGCGAACATACAGCTGACCATGAGAGAAGCACGGTTTTTCTAAGTTGACCCCTGCTACCTGCAACGTTGCTGCCTGCTACCCTAACGCCACTTGATCTTTACTTAGATAAGGAGGCCAGGGCTAGTTTGTGGAGGATTAACGTTGAGATCGGAGCTTACTTTCCCACAGATTTACATCCTTAAGAAAGCAAGCTCACTCGACTCACTTCGACTCATTGAAGGAAACACCGACTTACATCTTTGGATAAAAGTACATAGTGAAAATACACAAATAAGCAGCTCTAGGAGCTTTTTTTCGTTGAGATACATCTTAGTGACCTCAAAAATAGTTGAAAAATGACGTGAACCATCTAAAATGCCCTGGGGTGTAACAACAAAATCGTTTTGTAACAGGTTTCGGATCATGCGGGTATTCTAAGCAATTAACTGCCAACAAGGTCGCACGGTGAGGGCCGGCTCAAAGGGTACACAATTTGGACCCGAACCATTTTCTGTAATCTCAAAAAGCCTGGCCCAATCTACCATTTAAACTCCTCATCACAATAAATCACTTAGGATCTGGTCTGATACACCATGCTTAAAAGATTCTAAAACCCTAATGCAGGCATATGGTCAAAAATTTGCGTCTGAAACCCAGGAACTAAGTAGGAATCGACTATGTATTCTGCCAATAGCCCTGACTGGACACTGTTGTCTTAAAAAATTACATGTCTATCCTGGTACTAAGCAACTCAAGGATGTGGCAATTCTTTTCCTTAACGGAAGAAATGCCTCTGCACATCCTAACCGATTATGAATTCTTAATGCGCGAACGTAGCACTCATCTGGGAAAGTATGAACTTTACGCAGAAGAGGTGAAATAGCTTAAAGCTAAGTAACTTTTTGGATTCATTGAAAGGATAGGGCTTAGCAATGAACTATAGCTATAGCAGCGATTACAATAGATCTTATAGGTCTCTGTGATACTGGTCTTTCTAAGACTGCATAGCTGCTTGTACAAAACACTATTACTAAACCATTTACAGTTTTGAAATATCCGTTAAATATTATTTATTATCACGTAAAATTACCTTCTTACCTCTGTTATTTTACGAGAAATATGCAAAAATGAAAGTGGTAATTCATTTTTGGCACCTTTACCCTATAATGAGGACACCTCAATTACACAACATGCATTGCAGCAGCGGCGGGCTAACTGCTATATAACCTTTACCGATCGTGAGATGCACCAGTATAGAATAAGGTGTAACTAATTTTATTACTTTTTAAATTATAATTATCAGTTTCCGTGTCACGGCAATAGTGTCGTTTGTATATACATATTCTGTAACTAGTATGTTAAATTCATGTTTATATATATAAAACTGGTCAAGTGCGTGTTGGGCTACGAAGAGGCTTTCTTGATAACGAGCATATTGACCGCTAAAATAACTAAAAATTAGCCCAGATAGGACGATAACAACTAGAAGACTTATTTTCAATCAACTTAGGTATTTAAAAAAGGTTACAAAAAGTTTCGAGTTTGAATATATTATATGTTAGAAATTCTACCGCTGACACTACATTGTTGAAGCACATTATATTACATGTTTGTATGATCTGATATGAGATAACGAGAGATAATTAATGATTGTATTTAACTTGGAAATGTTTTTTATTGAAACATGGTGAGAAACGAGCACACACGTGATGGATAGAAAGATAGTGCGTAAAGGGCCGCTGCCTGGAGTTCACCAGGGCGCGTCCGGACCTGGCGCTGGACGCGACGCGACAGCATGTGGGCCGCCAGCCGAGCGCGGGGCACTGCAAGAACACCTAGCGGCCCCCCGCAACCATCATCCCCACCACCACCACCACCACACAAGAAGGCTTGGTGTCGGCTGGGTCTTCTCGGACTCAGCAAGCGGCACCCACCGCTGGTGTAGCAAGTCGCATACGTTGATCACAAATAATGAACGCAAACGCACTGCGGGCGTACTTTAGGGCAAAAGGGGAAGAAACTGGAAGTTTGGCTCATGAAGGTATGAGGATGATCTAGCCCATAGACATATGGAATATGTTGTGTGTAATTTATTTCGCTTTTATTGACAAGTGGTCATCTTTGGTCTCTGATTTACTAAAAAAAATTACAGCCCTATTGTAGTAGTATTATGTGTGACGTTACTTCACAAGACAAGATATCTTTAATCTGTAGAGATTTGTTCCTGATGTTAGCAACAATCGGCATCAATATACTCGTTTTTCTTATTTATTAATTATTTATTACCTTATTATTTGTCTAATAATATGAATAAATTAGAAATAGACTTATTTAGTCATTCGAGCGATCAAGCAAATTGTTTTCAAAACCAAGTGATGATAATTATATCACGAATATTCCTGTTGCATACTTTAAAAACGAAAAATAGGTCAGGTATGAGTACAAGAGCCCGTTGGATTCCATTTGTAATCCCAATTTTATATGCTGGTTTACCACTTGCTAAGCGGAAAATAAAACCATCGCGATCGTTATATCTGCTTGATAGAAAATATTTCTCAATCATAAAGTGAAGGCAGAATTGATAATGTCGTGTTACGGAGGCGTAAGAGAATCCAGTAAATCCTACCAAAGAATAGAAATATTAATACTTAGAGCCAGAAAAGATGAGGCAGACCGCGGTCTTGTTGTGGTTATGATACTATCGTTTTAGTGGCCTCTATACGTACGTTCCGTAAAGCAAACATGGTACCGATTAGACAAACAAAAATAAATTAAATAAGAGGTCTTTACCTATACAATTGACGTTGTGCAGTGATTGTCATTTCAAACCAAAATAATTTTTGTTTGGCTATGTGAAATTCTAATTTCAAATTAACTTTATTTTAAAACCATATCATTGTTTTTTCAAATTAAGTTATTTGTTTCTTGATTAGCGTCTTGTATTCACTGCATTTAACCTTTTTTGTCATTATGGATATTTTAAAAAATTTAAAACGGTTACGAAACGAATACTGCAAACGAATGCACCACCTGTAATTGGTTTGCGCGCTTCTATTCTGGAAATTTCAACCGAAAACTTTGGTTGATAGCGACAAATTTAAGGCGATTATAGAGCTGATTACTAATCTATGGCTGAATTAGCAGCAACTTTCGATGTTAATATCAAAACAGTATTGGTTCATTTGCGTCAAATTGGCAGGGTAAAAAAACTTGACAAATGGGGACCCCACGAACTCAATGATCACTAGCACGAAGTACGCGTCGAGACTTGCCTTGTACTGCTCAACAGGTACACAGACGAGGGAATTTTTAACCGTATTATTTCCTGCGACAAAAAATGGATTCTGTTTGACAATCACAAGCGCTCAGCAACTTGGTTGAATCCTAGTTCAGCACCAAATAATGCACTAAACGAAAACTTACCACTAAAAAAGTGATGGTCACTGTTTGGTGGTCTAACGCCGGTGTAATTCATCACAGCTTCTTATCAAACGGGATGAGCATTACTGCAAATATGTACTGTTTAAGTTCTAACACAATGATGGAGAAGTTCGTACGTCTCAAACCAGCTTTGGTCAATTGCTTCACACTACTGCCCCTGCACGACAACTCGCGACCTCATACAACACACCAGACGGTCTCCAATTTACAAGAGCTGAGGTTGGAAAGTCTCCTTCATCCACCTTACTCAACAGATTTAGCACCTACAGACCGCTACTTTTTCCAGAATTTGGATATCTTTTTGGTGGGAAAAAAATTCAATACCCTAGAGGCAGTACAAAATGCGATTGAAGAATTTGGTATCTTAATTATATTTTTTGTGTACATATTCTTGATAAAGACAATTTTAAATGTTAAATAAATTGATTACATCATATACTTTATTTATTATTTTTCCAATAAACGGTGATACAATGCTATTTACTTTTCTTGGAGGTTCTTCAAAATATCAATAAATTTGCCACCCAATTTTTTGACAAGACCAAAACGTGCACTTGGCGAATCCTCCAAAAGGATATCAAAGCCCGTGTCGTTGTCAGTAGGCACTTGTACAGCTTCAGACGCTTGACGACGTTCCCGATGAGTATCAGCAGCTTGCAAAACGTCAATAAAGACGAAAATCATGACGATTATTAAAACCTTTGCCTGGAAGGAAAATAATATTAAATTTATGTTTTAGGTCATTAAAGTAAATTCTTAGTATTAAAGTAAAGTTCTTTTACGTATCATACTTAAATAAACCTTTGGGCAGAGGATTTGCTATAATTGGCAGGCTTGGCAGGCGGATTAGCGATTGCAATACAAGAAGTCCCGCGCCTTTCACTGATGTGCACGTCGCCCGTCTGAATATTGTATGACTGGCGAAAAGAGATGCGAGATTTATTGTTTTGCAGATGGCGTATCTTTTATATATATAAAAAAAAAAATTTGAATGAAAAATATTGATAAATTAAAATCTATCGGAACTCAAATCATATCCACCCTACCAAGTGACCCTGCAAAGATGCCTACTAAATTTATTGTGTTATTACCGTTCTTATATTAGGGTGGATATGATTTGAATTTTGATAGATTTCAATTAATTAATTTATTTAATTCAAAATTTTTGTTTTTATTTTTTGTAAAATATCAGTGCCCATAAGCTTCTACTCCGTTCACATGTTACACCCTATTTTTTCCAGACTGTAAAAAGGTCATCAAGTATATCATGATACACCAAAACATTTAATCTTTTTGGTATTATAAATATTCTTATTTAAAAAAACACTCGTTGGACATCATAACATATTATATTAATATATTATATTACAAAATATTTGAACCTGGCCCACGAGGTAACCAACATGTAGTTGGTCTACGTACTGTAGTCGTTTTTCCTAACGGACTAATCCCATTTTTATATTTAATCATACATTGTTTTATATATATATTTAATTGTACAAACCACATGAGAAAACTATAAAATAATAATTATAATTAAAAGTCGTCCTTTCCATCTTCATGTCAGTCCTCGCAGGAGACTAAACATCCGTGTTTTACTTATATAGGTGAACATTTAATTGGTAAAGCCATGCTGCAGCCATAATAATAGTATAGTTGTAGTACGAATGGGTCGGCTCTACCGGTGTAGGACCACGCTCTCACAGAAAAGCAGCGTAAAATAACAGCTTAATGCTGCTGGGTTTTTATGGTGAGTGTAAAGAACCGGCGACACTTTTTACTGGAAATAAGGCGTTCCATCTTAGTCCTCACGGGTGACAATGTATCTTCTGCATTTCGATTCGATAGATGTAGATGTCTATAGACCACACGAACCACTTACTATCAGGTGGACTGTATGCTGTTTTGTCACCCTTATTCTATAAAAAGAAATAACCGCACACCATCAGGCGGACTATGGATTGCATGTCAGCTTAATTTTTTCAAAAGTTTATATACAAAATATTTACAAAATAAAACTTACCTTGCACGCCATTGCAAACGTTTCTTGAGGAGTGTAAGTAATAATATGACACAGTTAGTTAGCGTTCGATCCTTTAAATAGTTCTGTTATATAAAACTCATTAATTAAGAAATTAATTGTAGTAATTTTTATTCATCTAAAAGTTATTAACAATGGCGAAACAAATAATTTGATAATTCTGGCAACCTTCAACTTCCTTTTTGTTTTTTTGCGGAAATAATTTTACTTTAACGTGAAACAATCACATTTTTCCCTTACATTCTATAAAATCTACCGCTGTGCATAGGTCTCTTCCATAGATTGCCTCATAGAGGATTATGCCATAGTTGCCACGGTTAGTAGGCAGGTTTGCAACCAAAATATTTTATTGTTATTCACCTGTTATCAGGAAGATGCAGCGTCTCGTGTTTTGGTTTTCCTCCGTCGCCTCTTACATCATCCACGGAACGATATGAGGTAGTATATTACATGTTTGTATGATCCGATATGAGATAACGAGAGATAATTAATGATTGTATTTAACTTGGAAATGTTTTTTATTGAAACATGGTGAGAAACGAGCACACACGTGATGGATAGAAAGATAGTGCGCAAAGGGCCGCTGCCTTGAGGTCACCAGGGCGCGTCCGGAGCTGGCACTGTACGCGACAGCTTGAGGGCTGCCAGTTGAGGGCGGGGCGTTGGAAGAACACCTAACAGTCCCCCACATCCATCATCCCCACCGGAAGGCTTGGTGTCGGCTGGGTCTTCTCCGACTCAGCAAGCGGCACACGCCGCTGGTGGAGCACGTCCCATGCGTTGGTCACAAATAATGAACGCAAACGCACTGCGGGCGTACTTTAGGGCAAAAGGGGAAGAAACTGGAAGTTTGGCACATGAAGGTAAGAGAATGATCTGGCCAATAGACCTATGGAATATGTTGCGTGTAATTTATCTCGCTTTTATTGACAAGTGGTCATCTTTGGTCTCTTTATACTGTGTCAAATATGAGAGTAAATACACTCGTGTGTTCCGATTTACTAAAAAAAAATGACAGCCCTATTGTACTAGTATTGTGTGTGACGTTACTTCACAATACACGATATCTTTAATCTGATCTCTGCAAATAAATCTCTAGAAATAGACTTATTTAATCATTCGAAAGATCAAGCAAACTGTTTTCAAAATCAAGTGATGATGATTACATCACTAATATCCAGTTAGCAAAACTTTAAAAAACACTTCGGAGACTGTGTCATTTTTGGATGATTTATTCAATAGTGTAAATGGCTCTTCTCTTGATCACAAGAAATGTGGTGGAAAACCTTTAAGGAAGGCTGTTACTGACAACTCATTGCATCACAACTTTTGGAAAGATGTAAAGAAAAAAAATGAAAAAATGAAATTTATTGAGAAGGGCAATGAAAATATGCCTACACTAAAAAATTGGCTGACAACCATTAAAAGTTACGAAAGGATGTGGCAAGTGTTACACAAAAAAAAAATGTAAAATTCATGCGACCTCGGTATTTCAATTCAGATCCCCTTGAAAACTTTTTGGGCGAGTTAGGTCGTATAATTTTCGTAACAATGCTCCAACTTACCACATTTTCATCAGTCCTTGCAAATCTTTATTGATAACAGGCCTCATTAAATTTTATTCAGAAACCTATAATTGCAAAGATGATACTTTCTATCAGTTGATAAAAGTCTTTATTTAGAAAGCGATCTGAAGAGATAAACTGTAATACATCCAATATCAAACAGGATATTGGATGTATTGAAGAGAACCTTTCAACTAAAAATATTTAAGTGTAGGCAGCAAGGGAGCGATTAAATGTTAACTCAACAGCATATACCACTGGATGGGTTATAAAAAAACACTTAGCAAAATAAATTGCCAAGAATGTGAGGCCAGTTTATGTACTAAAGTAGATGGTAATGTACGTTATAATGTACGTTAATGGATCTCACAAAGAGAATATAAAACAATTAAGCAAAGAAAGCTGACCTATCCCTCGGAATATGCTGTGAGGCATTTTAGTTCAATATTAAAAGAAACAAATAGATATTTAGAATATTGTGCACACAACGAAAATGTAAGCCAAAAAGTAAAATAATCTTATAAAAACCAAGTATATATTTGAATTCATTAATTGTAAAAGACAATTATAAACTGGTGCAACATAATTGATAATTAGAATTGAAAACCGTACATTGCCACCAATGCAAAAAAAGCGTTGAACAAGTATAAAAAAAGTTAAAAAATAAATCATATTATAAATAATTTACACTGCATTTTACTTTTCTAATTCTCCTTCATAATTAAATAACAATAAACAAATTGTAATTAAATGGGCAAGGGTACTAAATTATGCTTGGTTGAGATAAAATTATTACTTTGCCTACAGCCGATTTATATTTAAAATAAAAACAAATGTCACGTTCTAATTTTCTGTACGGTTCAAACTAAATGTACGGTGAAACCTTACATCTTTGCCCACATATTTCGGTTTTTATTACTTTTTTCAAAAAATAGCTACTTTATTTTGATGGTTGCTGAAGCTTTAAAACGACACTCTATGCAATAAATAAACTGTCAAAACCAGGTGACATAATTCCTAACAGATGCTGAGAAAAAAACAAAAACAGACGCGGGCAAAGTTATCTCCACTTTCTTACATCTTTGCTCAACCTAATTTTCTCAGCAACTATAAGTTCTATGACTTCGATTTTAAGATATATTGTTAGCAAACCGGCAAAATGGTATACCATTACATTTTCAAATAAATAGAAGTCCATTTTAAGTTTTAATGGCGGTGGGCAATGTTATCACCACATTTAGTCACACTTTCATACTAAGAGATTTGAGGTGCTAGGGCTGTGCATCAGATGAAAGGAAAATAATAAACTGATTTTAAGGCAATAATGTATACTTTATTTTAAAAATTAAAAACAAAAACTAACTGAACAACAAAAAAAATCAATAAATTCAATGTTTAGGTAGGAAAGTTCTCGAAAATTGTCTCAGAAATTAACCCTGATAGTTGAGATAAGGGAAAGTAGACAGCGACGATACTTATTTAATATAATACGAGGCCAGCTTATACTGATTTTGTTACCACTGATGTGGGTGGTTCACCTACTGTGCGTACCAATCCATTTTGTCGGTCATTTTTGTCTGCGATCGTTAATGTCTGTCGTTGAGGAGACAATTCTCTTTTAGACTATTTTTTTTTTGCAAACGAATTGCCGCATAAATCTTATTAAAAACCAAATTAAAAACAAAAACTAACTGAACAACAAAAAAAAAATCATAAATTTAATGTTTAGGTAGGAAAGTTCTCGAAAATTGTCTCAGAAATTAACCTTGATAGTTGAGATAAGGGAAAGTAGACAGCGACGATACTTATTTAATCAGCTTACGCACAGCATCAACGTTTTCTTGGGTGTCTGCAGTTTTTGGACGACCTTGACGGGGATCATCACTGAGCTTGACACGTCCACGTTGAAATTCAGCAAACCAACGATAAATTGTGGTTTTCGATGGAGCTTCATCAAAAATGCAGAAATCAGCCGGTCAACACACTGTTTTTGTGTTAAACCACTTCGAAAGTTATAATAAATCATCGCTCTTGAATTTTCTCGAGTCAATTCCATTTTCTCAACGACTAAACAAGTTTGACAAAACCTTGTGACAAGACCGAGAATCTTTTTTTAAATAAATAAATGGTATTCGATTTTTAAAACTAAGGAGTTTTCAATTAAAAAGATTTTAATATGACAGGAACAGTGGACATATTCCATTCCCGATACTTTTAGTGCAGCCTAGTAAATATCGTAATTTGAATAGAGAAGGAGGCTGGGTACTACCACCTGCTTGGGACCATGTACTCAATATATATATATATATACATATATATATATATATATATATATATATAAACTACGGGTCACGTTGTTTGTCCACAATGGACTCCTAACTTGTGTGACACATAAAATGAAAATATAGAAGATATAACTTGTAGGTTCTTTCTACATAGTTGGGCCAATAACATAAATAAAATATTAAAAGGTGCAAGAATTGATGTTGATAAAGATGACGTTATGCAATCTCAAGCCAAAAAAACAAAATTTCTAGATAAATATATATATATATATATATATATATATATATTTGTCTAGAAATTTTGTTTTTTTAGTTTGTTTTTTTAGCAGCTCCTTGAGGCGTTGAAGGCGAGATATGGCGACGCTCACCTGGAACACGTCTTTCGCGCGCAGCTTAATGATCGCGTGCAACGCAGCAACGATAACCTGCAGCAGTGGGCCCTTGAGGTGGAGAAGATGGTTCGAAAAGCATACCAGTCTGTACCTGCGCTCATTGAAGGGAACCTGGTTCAGACATTCATCGACGGCATCCGCGACCTTGAAGTCAGAGCTGCTGTGAGGCTTGGGCACCACGACACGCTTAAGGACGCCTTGGCCCATGCACTGGAGGTGGAAGCCGTGCGGCAGGATCTTCGCTCCCATCGCGTCAGGGAGGTTGCAGCAGCTACGGTTCGCGACCGCAATAAAGGATACAGCCCCTAGGTGCTATGGCTGTGGGGAAAGGGGGCATCTTCGATTCAGCTGGCCTAAGCGAACCGTAGAAAGGGAAGGTGAACGATATCAGGAGGGTGGTGCGGCTAACAGCCCCGCCCAGCAGCAGCAGGGAAACGAGTAAAATCCAGAACTGCGGGGCGGGTGCTGGCTGATGTTAAATTGCCCCAAGGATCTCGGTCTCACAAACCCATGATGGGAACAGTCTGATCATCAAGGGCGAGGTCAACGGAATGCCGTGTAAACTGACCATAGATACTGGAGCCTCTCGTACGGTTGTCAGTTCCCAACTTATAGGTCAGTTCCTTGGGGACTCCGCATACAACCGAGAACGCATTAATTTGGCAACAGCCACCGGTCAGCGTTACCCGTCCGTGGAGAGAAAGAAAAGAAGTTGAAGCTAGGCAACATGATCTACCTGCATAATGTCATCGTGGCTGATATAATGAATAACTGCATCCTGGGCCTAGACTTCATGAGGAAGAATTATTGTGCGATTGACGTTAAGCAAGGTGTCTTGAAATGTGGACAAGAGGAACTTTTTGTGGAAGGAGGGAACCAGGGAACGTGTACAGCCTTGAGAAGATTGTTCTTCCGCCAAGATCAGAAACGATTGTGCCGGTTAGTCTTCCTCGGAATCCTGGGCAACCTCATCGTTGTGTACTCGTGGAAAGGTTAGAAAATGACCTTCCATGGAAAGTGGCTCGAACCTTGGTCAGAACCACTAACATCTCAGGAGTACGTGTGCTGAACCTTTGTGGCCAGGAACAGATTATAGAAAAAGGCACACTGGTTGGTACTTTTGAGGAAGTGGATTGGTTACGTCGGTGCCAATGTATATCGAGTGGGACCCCGAGCAAGGATTCAGAAACGAGAGTGACCACACTTTTGGAAGACTGTCGCAGCATTCTCTCCCCCGACAGAAATGGTCAAGGCGAAGAAGTTGTTACTCAAGTATGCCGATGTATTCTCATCAAACGATGCTGACATAGGAAAGACTGGCTTAGTTCAACACAAAATAAACACAGGAGAAGAATTGCCTATCCGTCAGCGGCCAAGAAGATTGCCGGTAGCACGTGAAAAGGAAGTGGAAACCATGATTGAGGGAATGGTGAAGGGTGGTGTTATTGAACCTTCATCTTGTCCATGGTGTTCAACCGTGGTGCTGGTAAAGAAGAAGGATTGCAGCATGCGGTTCTGTGTTGATTACCGCCGTCTGAACGACGTTACAAAGAAGGACAGCTATCCCTTGCCAAGAATTGATGACACGCTGGACATGCTTAGAGGAGTTGTGCGATTGACGTTAAGCAAGGTGTTTTGAAGTGTGGACAAGAGGAACTTTTTGTGGAAGGGGCGTTACCAGGGAACGTGTACAGCCTTAAGAAGATTGTTTTTCCGCAGAGATCGGAAATGATTGTGACGGTTAGTCTTCCTCGGAATCCTGGACAACCTCATCGTTGTGTACTCGTGGAAAGGTTAGACAATGACCTTCTATGGAAAGTGGCTCGAACCTTGGTTAGGACCACTGACATCTCAAGAGTACGTGTGCTGAACCTTTGTGACCGGGAACAGATTATAGAAAAAGGCACACTGGTTGGTACTTTTGAGGAAGTGGATTGGTTACGTCGGTGCCAATGTATATCGAGTGGGACCCCGAGCAAGGATTCAGAAACGAGAGTGACCACACTTTTGGAAGACTGTCGCAGCATTCTCTCCCCGACAGAAATGGTCAAGGCGAAGAAGTTGTTACTCAAGTATGCCGATGTATTCTCATCAAACGATGCTGACATAGGAAAGACTGGCTTAGTTCAACACAAAATAAACACAGGAGAAGAATTGCCTATCCGTCAGCGGCCAAGAAGATTGCCGGTAGCACGTGAAAAGGAAGTGGAAACCATGATTGAGGGAATGGTGAAGGGTGGTGTTATTGAACCTTCATCTTGTCCATGGTGTTCAACCGTGGTGCTGGTAAAGAAGAAGGATTGCAGCATGCGGTTCTGTGTTGATTACCGCCGTCTGAACGACGTTACAAAGAAGGACAGCTATCCCTTGCCAAGAATTGATGACACGCTGGACATGCTTAGAGGAGTAAAATGGTTTAGCACGCTGGATCTAAAAAGTGGCTACTGTCAAGTTGAAATTGACCCCAAGGACAAGGAGAAAACTACGTTCTCGACGGGAAAGGGTCTGTGGCAATTTAATGTAATACCGTTTGGGTTGTGCAATGCTCCAGCAACGTTTGAAAGGCTGATGGAACTTGTACTTACTGGGCTGATTGGCGATGCCTGTCTGGTCTACTTGGATGACATCATCATCGTAGGCCGATTCAAAACCTGTAATGCGTGCTCATGAAGATTCAGAGTGCCAACCTCAAGTTGAGTCGGAAGAAATGTTCACTATTCAAACGGCAAGTCAACTTTTTTGGGTATGTAGTGTCAGAAGAAGGTATCCGTATGGATCCGGAGAAAATCGCCGCTGTCAAGGATTGGCCGGTTCCGAAAGACAAGACGCAGGTTAGAATATTTTTGGTTTGTGCTCCTATTACCGGCGATTTGTGAAGAACTTTGCAGATATAGCCAAACCTCTGCACAAGCTTACCGAAGAGAAGCGACATTTCTGCTGTGATAAAAGTTGCAATATCGCATTCCACGAGCTCAAGGACCGTCTGTGCAAAACACCTATTTTGGGATACCCTGATGAAAGCAAAGAATTTATAGTTGACATGGACGCAAGTGATATAGGACTTGGCGGTGTGTTGTCTCAACGGAATGGTGACCAAGAGGTCGTGATAGCGTACTTCAGCAAGACGTTGTCAAAACCGGAAAGGAACTATTGTGCCACAAGACGCGAATTGCTAGCTGTGGTAAAGTCGTTGCAGCATTTTAGCAAATATCTTCTGGGGCGGAAATTTCACTTACGAACTGACCATACTGCACTAAAATGGCTATTGCAGTTTAAAAATCCAGAGGGACAAGTTGCGAGGTGGATTGAACTACTGCAGGAGTATGACTTTAAGATCGAACATCGCAGCGGGAAATCTCATGGCAACGCAGATGCATTGTCAAGAAGACCTTGTCTTGAAGATTGCAAACATTGTACAAGGCAAGAGAGTAAGGAAGTGGTATCCGTGAGGATGCTCAGGGCAGACCGGACATCAAGCCGATTCTGGAATGGATGAAGGCCAGTGCTCCCAAGCCCAAGTAGAGCGACGTCTCAGCGACGAGTTCGACCACTAAAAGCTATTGGGCCCAGTGGGACAGCTTGTTGCTTCAGGATGGAGTTCTCTGCCGTAAATGGGAAAGTGTTCGGGGAGACAGCTGTCATTTGCAAATGGTTGTCCCTAAAGCTAAAGTACCGGATGTTCTACAGCTGTACCATAATGATTATTCAGGAGGCCATCTGGGAGTTAAACGAACTCTACTGAAGATCCGAGAACGGTTTTACTGGGTCTACTGTCGAAACGATATCGAGGACTGGTGTCCTCGATATCGTTTCGACAGTAGACCCTTGGAGCTTTCCAGAAAATGACATCACTAATCTTTCAACCGACAGCGCCATCTAGTCTCGAACCGAAGAACTAAACTTCTAGAAGTTGAAACTCGAACTCTCGGTTCCTTGCGCGTGTTTATTTGAATATTCTGGATATTTCGGTGCTAATTTATATTTATAGGCGCTGCAAGATGCGATCGGGGAAGTATTGAATTTGGCGAGACAAGCGAAGCTTCGGAGTGGAATAAAGTGAATCAGTGTGATTAATTATTAGTGTTTTAAGTTTTAATTTGTGTAAAGAAAATTAAAGTGTTAATTTAGGTAATTTTATCGGCAATTTTTACTGTCACGAACCTCAAGCACGTAACATTACTACTCCATAGCAAATGACTTAAAACTAGCTGCATTATAACTTTGTAATGTCATTGTAAACTGTAAGATAAACATTTTATGAAGATATCGACTTATGTCATTACTACTATAGCTTTACTTTTTTATTTGTGTGATAGGAAGGGAGGATGTTTCTTACTTACTAACTACTTTCGCATACTTTAAGTTGGTTGTAATTATAAGCCTCATTCAAAGTATAAATACACTTATATAGCCTCGTACAGTTGCATTCGTCATACTCTTGGTTTACTCTTTCGACCCTCAGGACCCCTAAATTGTTTAGGTCAATGGTGGTTTAAGGGAAGATCCTAATTATTGAATGGATATCTTTTTTTGGAATGGACTAGGCACGTGAATGATTTGATATAGCTTGTAATATTGTCAAACTTGAAACTTTTTGTAATCTTTTTTGAATACCCTATAAAGTGATCGAAAATAAGTGTTCTATAATAATAATAATAATAATGATTTATTTGCGGTTTTTCTAGTTACTACCGTCCTATTTGGGCCGATTTTTAGTCATTTTAGCGGTCAATACGCAAACTCAATATGCTTGTTATCAAGAAAGCCTCTTCGTAGCCCAAAAAAAAAACGACAAATAAACATGAATTTAACATACCAGTTACATAGTAGGTATATACAAACGACACTATTGCCGTGACACGGAAACTGATAATTATAACTTAAAAAGTAATAAAATTAGTTCCCTTTCACTCGGCTACGGATCTAATTAGATCATACAATACCTACCTTACGTCGGCTCTGGTACGGGTCGAATTAGATCAGGTCGGATCAGAAGTACTGCCTTATGAAAAAACTATTTTTTCCTTTAAAACAAAACCAAAGACAATATGCAATAGATAATAGTATCAAAGACAAAGATATGCTCTTTTATTTTAAACCATAACCTGGCAATGTTTCTTAGAAAAAAAAAAGAAATCACTCTGAACTTTCGGCGTTCCACGTGTCGCTTTGATGAAGGTGCTCCGTCTTTTTTATAGAATTTTATATTTGTGTCTGGACTAAAAACGAAAGTATTATACTTTTATATATTCCTTGTAATATAGTGAAAACGTAGATATATAATTTGTGGTATAAAAAGTGAAAAGTAAATTGCCAAAAGTACTTCAAAATCCAGAAGGCCCATTTTGGCGGGTGGGTCATAAATGTGTTATTTTTCAAATTCTCATTTATTTTTAGTGTAAAATGTAAGTAAAAATAGTTTTCTTACATATTTCAAATAACTTGACGTTGTATTTATTTCAAATTCACACAAAACTATTTTTGAAATATTGTTCGAAATATCATACAGATAAAATATTATTATTTTTTTTTAAATTTTTTAATATTTTAATATTTTGGTATGAGTAACGAATAGAAACACATAAAACATAAAAATATACATATTTCCAAACACTTTCATATAAATTTCTCCAAAAACAAAAGTGTAGAATGCAAATTAGTAGTAATTTTGTCACTAAAATTGAAGTATATACTACTACTATGCTATACAGGGTAATTTATGTATTTTATTACAATTTCTAGCAACCAAAAATAATTTTATTCGATAGTTTATACATTCAACAAGAATTCCTGTAAGTTTTATCCATAAATATTGTCTCAAAGTGAAAATATAGTAAAATTTGCAATATAGCAAAAAAATTTCCTAACTTACAAATTTTCCCGCCATTAAGGTCCTGAGGGAACCGGAGTATAATATGTGGCGCGCTGTCAGAGGTAACGGGATTATCTATACTCGTGCGTCTCACAACCGGTAAAGGTTATATAGCAGTTAGCCCGCCGCTGCTGCAATGCATGTTGGTGTAATTGAGGTGTCCTCATTATAGGATAAAGGTGCCAAATTTGAATTACCACATTCATTTTTGCATATTTCTCGTAAAATATCAGAGGTAAGAAGGTAATTTTACGCGATAATAAATAATATTTAATGAATATTTCAAAATTGTAAATGTTTTAGTAATAGTGTTTTTGTAGAAGCAGCTATGCAGGTTTAGATTGACCAGTATTACGGTGTCCTATAAGATCTATTCTGATCGCTGCTATGTGATATAGTTCACTACTAAGCCCTATCTCTTCAATGAATAGAAGGAGTTTCTTAGCTGTGAGCAATTTAACCTCTTCTGCGCTCTGTACGTTCATACTTTCCCAGATGAGTGCTACGTTTGCGCATTAAGAATTCATAATCGGCAATCGGAGAAGAATCGTCACATCCCTAAATTGCTTGTGTTCCAGGATAGACATGTGCTTTTTTAAACAGCGGTGTCCAGTCAGGGCTATTGGCAGAATACGCAGTCGATTCTTACTTAATTCCTGGGTTTCAGATGCAATTTTTCAACCATAAGCTTTGATTAGGGTTTTAGAATCTTTTAATTATATTTTTGTGTACATATTCTTCATAAAGATAATTTTAAATGTTAAATAAATTGATTACATCATATACTTTATTCATTATTTTTCTAATAAACGGTGATACAATGCTATTTACTTTTCTTGGAGTTTCTTCAAAACATCAATAAATTTGCCACCCAATTTTTTGACGAGACCAAAACGTGCACTTGGCAAATCCTCCAAAAGGATATCAAGGCCCGTGTCGTTGTCAGTAGGCACTTGTACAGCTTCAGACGCTTGACGACGTTCCCGATGAGTATCAGCAGCTTGCAAAACGTCAATAAAGACGAAAATCATGACGATTATTAAAACCTTTGCCTGGAAGGAAAATAATATTAAATTTATGTTTTAGGTCATCAAAGCAAAATTTTAAGTATTAAAGTTCTTTTATGTATCATACTTAAATAAACTTTTAGGCAGAGCATTTGCTATAATTGGCAGGCTTGGCAGGCGGATCAGCGATTGCAATACAAGAAGTCCCGCGCCTTTCACTGATGTGCACGTCGCCCGTGTGAATATTGTATGACTGGCGAAAAGAGATGCGAGATTTTATGTTTTGCAGATGGTGTATTTTTAATATATATAAAAAAAATAAAAACAAAAATTTTGAATGAAAAATATTGATAAATTAAAATCTATCGGAACTCAAATCATATCCACCCTAGCCTGTGACCCTGCAAAGATGCCTACTAAATTTATTGTGTTATTACCGTTCTTATATTAGGGTGGATATGATTTGAATTTTGATAGATTTCAATTAATTTATTTATTTAATTTAAAATTTTTGTTTTTATTTTTTGTAAAATATCAGTGCCCATAAGCTTCTACTCCGTTCACATGTTACACCCTATTTTTTCCAGACTGTAAAAAAGGTCATCAAGTATATCATGATACACCAAAACATTTAATCTTTTTGGTATTATAAATATTCTTATTTAAAAAACACTCGTTGGACATCATAACAATAAAAATATATTTGAAGCTGGCCCACGAGGTGACCAACATGTAGTTTGTCTACGTACTGTAGTCGTTTCTGCTAACGGACTAATCCCAGATTTATATTT